TTAAAAGAACAGTGCCTCACACACCAGCAGGCAGAGCCACTGATGCAGAGCAGCTGGAGGGCAGGGCAAGGCACGCAGCTGAGCAGGACAGGAAGGCTGCCCCGGCTGATGGCGGAGACTTTCTCCTGTCCTCGGGGATGGGGAGGAAGAGGGGGATGCCATAGCCTGAAGACAGCAGTATTCCGTGGAGGCCGGGCCCTCTGTGTGTAAAGGCAAGCTGCTCACATACCAGCCTGAAGTGATGTGCAGAGCCTGTGACAGTGACCACAGGGGCAGAGCCAGGCCTGGCATAGGCCAACATCCCAGGTCCCATCAGGAAGAGCAACCTGGATAGCCAGGCGGCCCAGCTGAGAGAAGCGGCTGTTTTAATGTCAATACAAAGGTCAAACAAAAATATTCCTGCGCTGGGGTCATAGCTCAGGGGTGAAACTCATGCTTAACATGCATGAAGCCTTGGGTTGGAGCCTGAGCATGCATTTCTTCCGTTAGAAGATTACCTTGCATTTTAAAGGTGTTAACGTTTCTTCCTCCACCGTTCCTCTCCAGGAGCCCCTCATTGTTCACGGGTGCACTTTCCTGTTTCGGTTACCCACTGTCAACCTCAGTCTAAAAATATTAAATGGGAAATTTCAGAAATAAACAATTCATAAGCTTGAAATAAGTTTTTACTACAGTGAGTTGTTGCAGTTGTTCTATTTGATTGTTGTTGTGGTTAATCTTACTGTGCCTGATCTACAGACTCCTTCCCTGTATGCATAGAGAGGAATCGTAGTGTCTGCGGGATTTGGTGCTGTCTGTGGTTTCAGGCGTGCACTGAGGCTCCTGGAATTTCCCCCACCAATAGGTGGGACTTCTGTGTTCTTATGAGTCTAGCTTCTTTCAGTGAGATCCTAGAGGGGGAATAGAAATGTAGCAGTCACCGCAAACCATATTTTGTGTATCTGTGTGTGATTTGGAGACAAATACTCTCCCCTGCCTGTCTGGACAAAGTAGGAAGTTTGGTGATGCAGAATTTTGGACACTGGGTTTCACCTCTTTAGGCTTCAGTCTCCCCATCTATAAAACAGGACCATCTTTCCCCATAGAGAGGGCTCCACTTTGCAGATAGGGAAACTCAGGTCCAGAAGTCAGGGCCAGAGGGCACGGGTATCTCCCATGCTGAACCAGGCCGGTGGGCACATCCCCTTGCATCTGAGCTTGGGGGCCTCCCAACCTAGCAGCCTGTCTCATTCCTCATGAAGACACCCAGATATCGGCACGACCAGTTCCTCAACCTGGGGAAAGGCCGAATGAAAATCGTTGCTACTATGTAAGTCAGGAAGGGCTTGGAGGGGTGGGAAGGAGGAACGTAGGAAGTAGCTGCATAGGTCCGTGTAGCCGTGGTTGTGCCTGTGTTCCAACAAAACCAAATAAACAGGAGGTGGGTATGCAGGCAAAAGAGGTGAAAGCAGAGGTAAATATTTGTGTGCCTGTGTTCACAGCTATTATTCACATTAACCCAAAGCAGGAAGTAACCCAGGTGTCTATCAGTAGATGAATGGATGCATAGCCATTCAATGAAATACTCTTTAGCCTTAGAAAGAAGGAGATTCTTGCACAATTTGCAACATACATGGCCCTTGAAGATGGGATGTTGAGTGAAATCAGCCAGGCACAAAAGGGCAAATGGATGGCTCCACTAGAGTATTCAGATCCCAGATAGTTCTGCAGCTAGTTTTGCAATAGGTGTGGGTGACCTTGACTGCTGTTTCCTTCTCCCCTGCAGTGGGACTGACCCTCCCCAGATCCTTGGCCTCCCTCAGCTGAATTTAACCTAAGTGTCTAAATAGATATGGTGCTGGCCACTGTTTCCTCCAGAGGCACTTTGCCTGGTCAGCATTGTGAGAAGCATCTGTTCCTTTCTGGGGCTGTTCAGTCCCATCCACTTGGACCCTGTGGGTCACTGCTGAGGATGGTCATGTGACCCAGAGGCAGGGTGCTGAATGGCTTTCAGACTCGCCTCAAGGGGAGGGGTGGCTGCCTGTGGCCTGGCTCGGTAGCTCAGATGGCAAGTGCTGCCTGAATAGCTTCCAGGGCCTCCCTGCCATGGGCCTGCAGAGGGTCAGAAGCTCTGCAATTAATACATTCCTTTGCCAGCAAATTTCATTCAGCTCTTAGTTTCTCACTGTCCCTGAACGTGAATTGACTTGAATGCCCAGAGTTAAAAGAGCAAAAGTTATGTAACACCTTGCAGGGATGGTAACCACTTACAAGCAAACATTTTGATTAAATACTGCTATAGGTGAAGGTTTCTTCGGCTAAATAGCAGTCTAGTATGCTTTAGGAGGAGTGTTTGGACACAGGCAGCAATTAACTTTGCGGAAGAAATGAGCAAGGTGAGTTACCTATACGAAGAGAAAGAAAAGTACTTGTGTGCAGAATAGGGCAGAAATAATGAGGTCTATGATGTCTTGAGGTAGAAAATGAACTGAGAACCAGAACTGCAGAAAATCATGTACTGAGTGCTTACTTCCTGCTGGCCCCTCCGCTGGCTCTTTCATAGACAGATATCTCATTTGAATCTCGAAGCAATCAGCCCTCGAAGGTGGTAGCTTTTAGTTTCCTGAGGAAATGAAGATTCAAAGAGGGGAAGCCCCAGTCACCCAGCAGAAAGGGGTCAAAGGAGATACAGACCTAGATGTGGCCAAAATCCAAAGCATCCCGGACCTTGAGAGCGGAGTGGGGGAGCCTTGAAAAGGTGCTTGAGAGAAAAAGAAAATGCCAGAACCAGCCACATTTGTGGAGCATCCAATAGGTCCTAGGCACTAAGCTGGATGCTTTGCCAATCTGCGTAGCTTTGATCTGCGTAGCTTTGATCTGCCCGACTGTCATAGTACTTGATACCTATGGTTGTAAGCAACAGAAAAAAATCAGAGCAAGCTTAAGTGAGGAAGGAGATTATTGAAAAAAATAAAGGGATGTCTCCTAAACCCAAGAATAGGAGACAGAGAGCAAGATTGCTGGAAAAAAGAGGTGAAGGGTGGTAAAGAGGATGCTGGACTCTCTTTTGCACACCTGCTTTAGCTTCTTGTGCAAAGATGTGAAAATAGTCACTCATAGCACCCAGTTCCCTCCAGTTTCTGCCTGGGCCAATCAACTCTAGTGGATCGGTTTGTAGACCAGCTCTGAGTAAGGTGGGAGTGGCCGGTGGGGTGCTGGATTAGGTAGACTTACATATGTCCGAGGGGTAAGTTCTGTAGTTTTATTTCTGTTTTACTCATAAAGAATTGATACTACCCTTGATATTAGCCAAAAGGCTGAGAAGTGATGACTCATGAAGAATGGAGATTTGTAGGTATTTAACATCCTTGCCCAAAGTCACATGGCTGATGAAGTAGAGCTTGAAGCGGGCCTGTCTGCCTGAAAGTCATGTTGTGGTGGCACACACCTGCAGTCACAATTACCTGGGAGGCAGAGGAAGGAGAAGGGCAATTTTGAGGCCAACACAGGCGACTTAGATGAGATGCTGCCTTAAAATAAAAAATTTTAAGAGAGCTGGGAATGTAGCTCAACAGTCCCTGGGTTCAATTGCCAATACTACAAGAAGAACAAGTTTGTAATCATCACGTACAAACTTCTCCGGAGTACAGTTCCCCTTATCTGCAGGGGATGTGTTCCGAGGTGTTCCATGGGTACCTACAACTGCCAATTATGTATATATGTGGTTATATGTGTGATATGTATGTGTGCATTATATATTATATGCTGTAGTATATAGACATTCCCTATCTATGATGTATAATATGTAGTCGTATGTTACATAGAAAATATGTATAGTATATTATGCTAGTAGCATAAAAATATATATGTTTATATGTACACCGATATAGATAGATATACACATGCATACTGTCTTTTTCCCAAACATATGTACCTACTTTAATTTATAAATTAGGCACAATGGAGATTAACAACAATAATCAATAGTAAATAAAACAATTATGTGAGTATTCTGTATAATATCGGTAGTTTGCATCTGGGATTTTCCACTTGATATCTTCAGACCACATTTAAGTGCAGGTAACTGAAACCTCAGAAAGCAAAACCATGGCTACGGGGTGGAGAGGGGGGTTTACTGTGGTCTTCAGTTGCTCCTTTAACCAGAAGCCAGAGGAGAAAGTAGGATGGTTTAACCTGAGAAGCACAGCATGCAGCCCATTTATTTTAAAAGCTGTTCTTTTGAGGACTGCCGCTAGCAGTTTTCTACAGCCCGTAAAGAGCATGAAGCAGTCCCCTGAGGGCAGTGTCCTATGCCCCAGGGGCCTCTGATGTGTCCCCCCCCAGTGAGGACCAACAGTTCCTGAAGGCCAGGGACTGGGCCACATTGCTTCTCTTAGATCCATCCAGCCCTCAGGCTGAAATCTGCCTGGAAGACCTGCCCCCGGCAGAAAGTTGGGATACCCCAGGGGTTCGGTTGTTCTCATCTGACCTTTGCACAATCCCAAAGCAGATGGATCCGAGTGTTGCCCTTGGCTCCCTTGTAGCATTTGAGAATGAGTGTTCGTTCTTAGATATTTCGGTTTACCCAGGGGGCGAAGAGCGCAGAGTTTGTTTATAATGAATATTTTGGTGCAGATTTGACTTGACACTAGCTTAGCTACTTCAGGGATGCTTGGCCCAATGGGAGCACTAATCCACATCTAAATAACTTGGCCAGGATAAGACAAACTTTAAATGATACTAACTTACCACCAGATTTGATGGATTATATGCTTCATCAGAAACATCACCTAGGGTTGTTTATCTGGAAGGAATTATCTAAATCCACCTTCCAGTTCATAAACACTGACTGTGTGCCAGAGACACAAGTGGGTAGCATGATTGTGGAGGGGAGGTCTGTTTCCTCTGGGAACAGAGGAGGCCTCTCAGACAAGGGGAGAATTTTTGTGGGAAGGAGAATTTTGGAAGCTGTTTGCACAATGGTATTAATGGACAATATCCTGTTTCTTGTTTTGCAGATTGGAAACCTGGAAGATTTCTACCATTTTCATCATAGCAAGACCTTCAAAAGATCGACCTTGAGTAGCAGAGGCCCTCATACCTTCCTCAGAATGGACCCCCAGGTACCCCGGGGAAGGACAGTTCCCTAAGGATGAGAGTGTTGGGGTCTGTGGTCCTGAAAATGCACAAATCTGGATTGTAAGGCAACTCTAGAGCGATGTTAGTTTCCGCGTCTGCTTTGAATAAAGCATAGCAGAGGTGCAGCAGCACATCAGACGATGTAAATGCTCCACATATTGGGGTCCACTGTCAGACTTGAAAATTTAAATTCATGACTTCAGTTGGAAGCAACATTCATGTGAGTGTAGATCTATCAATATTGGACAATTCAGTAGGACTGGGAGGGGCTGGGGATTTAGCTCAGCAGCACAGCGCCTGCCTGGCAAGCACAAGGTCGTGAGTTCGATTCCTGGTACCAGAAAAAAAAAACAAAAACAAAAACAAACCTGTAGGACTGGGGATGTAGCTTATTGGTAGAGTTCCTACCTAGCATGCTCACGGGCCTGGGTTCAGTTTTCAGTACTGCAAAAAAAGCAAAAGAAAAAGTAAGAAATAAGAAAATATCAACAAAATACGTAATAAGTACAGGAAGTACATATGTATATCTTTCCCTTAAAGCAAAACCACGAGGCAGTTCCAGCAAGTATTTTAATAATGAAATTAGAAGTCACACAGATGGATGCTTTTGTGGTTGTCACATGTATCATAATGGTTACCATGAATTTAAAAACTGGGGCAGTGAGTATGTAACTTTTCTTGCTAAAAATTTATATAACTCTGAGAGTAAAACAATACAATTTGAAAAGAGGCTAACATTTGAAGTTATAATCCACTTCGTATTTATTGGAGTAGTTAGTAATACTTTCTGCATATATTTGAAATTAATATTTGCCAAATGTCAGTCAAAAGATAGTTGGTAAGATTGAAAATTGAAGATGGCCGAGTGAGCCTGTGATGAGTTCATTCATTTTGGAAAACCTGCTAGGTGGCTGGTTCCGCTCACATCAGGGCCAGTGGGGCTGGTTGTGGGGCCAATAGAAAAATGTGTGATAAATCACAGGGCAGTGAGTGCTAGGAGGGGAAATGAAGTTTACAGCAGAACCAGTAGTAATCCCCACCCCAGATGTGACCATTAGTAAGCCATAGTTTTAAACATGGAAATCATCTTTTCTTAAAAGCAACATGCTCAGTGCTAGTCTGGGATTCTTAGCTGGTGCACAAAATTATTTCATCTCATCCCAGAGAACATTTCTAATGGGTTACCATGGAAGAATGGGTTTTTGGTGTTGCCCCAAACCACCCATTGACATTCATGGCTTCACTGTATAGACAGAGCTTGGAGGTGGTGGGGGACGCACTTTATCCGTGGACACTGTAATGGATTACCCTTCTCTGGCCATCTCTCCTGTACGTCTCCTGATCAAAAGTGCGTGGAGCTCATTTCTATAAGGTGGCTATGAAAAGACAGACATATTTTAAATGTATTTCTGAACTAATTTTATAGGTGGATAGATGGGTAGATGGATGGACAGATGAACTGATGGGTGCACAGATGCATGAATGGATGGATGATAGATGGAGGGATAGATAGATCAATAGGTAGAAAGAGATATGGAATACTCTGCTATTCTAATTGCACTATCCCTTCACAGCAAGGAAAGGACCTTAGTGTTTATTACAGGATTCCCATGTGCTTAGACACTTGTATGCATCATCTCTCCTAATTACATGGTGCTGTGATTATATCTACTTGCACTCTGGCCAGGGAACGTGAAGGAATGTTTTTCAAAGGGACAGGTACATTTTCTTCCTTTAAGGAGCAAAGGGAGATTGCTCATACTCCTGGAATGGGGCAGGCGGGAAGAGTGAGAGACCTGCTGCAGGCATCAGTATCAGAAGGAGCCGGAGGGTGTTCTGTGTGGAGCGCACAGCCTCTCACTGAGGGGACCTGGTGCTGTGAGGTTGAGAGTCACCTGTCCTCTCTCAGGTTGGAGAAAATTCTAAGCTGTTAAGGAAGTGGCTACATTGCTCCTCCATGCGTTCACCTTAAGTGAGCAGTCCATCTGTCTTTTGAAGACAGTGTGCTGCTTTGTCTAAAGTCTCTGAAGTTGCAAAATTGCTGCCGCATAGAGAGTTACAGTGGAGGGCAAGCTGTCTGCATGCAGGAGGTCCCATGCATGGGCATGCTCTACAAAGAGATTAAGATAGTGAGTTTTTTGGTCTGCTTCCAATGGATGTCCGAGAATTAAGCTGTCCATCAAGTGTTAGGACAAAGGCAAAACTGAAATCGATTTTGTCTGTGTTTTGTCTACATTCTCTACTTTTGGTGACTCAGTTTTTATAACATCTTTCCAAAAGAGTTAAAGTCGTCATGTTACAATGATACATGCATATTCATGGTTTAACTCATATTTGCTATGGAAGCAACCCATGAACAGATGGATGAAGAAAATGTGAGATAGATAGATAGATAGATAGATAGACAGAATGGAGTACTACTACTTAGCCAAAATAAAGGATATTGAGTCATTGTGGAAAATGGATGCACCTTGAGACCATAATGCGAAGTAAAATAAATCAAACACAAAAGGTTAAACATTGCGTGACTTCTCTTTTATGAGAAACCCAAAACATAAATAATTTAAAGAGCAAAATAAAAGAGGATAGGAAAGAGGAAAATAGGTTTTTGCACAGATGTGAAAGGGATCTGTGGATAGGGAGAGACAGAGGGAAGGGGGGGGGGAGTAAAAAGGATTAAGATACAGTAAGCACATGTACCAGTCCCCCACGATGAAGGTGATGATTCTGTATCACAAACTTATACTAATACGAAAAGGGTACTCAATTTGAATGCTTTTCTTTCCTTTCCAAAAATATCAGCTGTGAATGGAAGTGCAGTTTTCCAGAAGGTTCTGCCTTAGTGAGGCATGGTGATGAGCCTGCAGCAGAGCCGGGAAGTGGAGGCTGGCGGATACACAGTGCCTGGGTGGCCGGGACGGGTTCTGCAGAGGGCTCCAGGGCCTCGATGCCTCTGTGCTGCCTCTCTGCTGCCTCCCTCAGCATCCTCTGAGCTGCATGGTTGACTCATTTTAGGTGCTTCTAAAGTACGGTACTCAGTGTGATTGTGAGGGCAAAGTATTCTCAGTAATCAGCTGTGTCCTTGCAGGAAACAGGAGGAAGGATAGACTTCGCAGGCAAAGGCTCTGGCAGTTAAATGATTTTGAATGAAAATCTCCTTTACACGGAGTTTTTTAATAAGCTCCTGGCAGGGCTGCTATCAAAGCACCCTGCCAATAAAGAAGAAAGAGGAAAAAGGTAAACAGCCAGACCATCCCAGCTCTGCCTGGAACCCGCACGTGATTGGCTGATTGTCTCGCACAGTTCTAATTAAAGTTGTAGCCCCAGGGAGAGCATATAGACATCTAAACCAATTATGAATTCAGAATCGCAACTGAAATACCTCTGTTTACATTCGTCTAGTTTTAAGGCAAACTAAATCAATTAGCTGTCAGTCTGATGGATATTTACATTGCCTTGTCATTTCCAATTAAATATTTGGCAAAATTAGCTGTTTTATGTAGGCATTTAGTGTTATCTTTCATTGCAGCCCATCTGAACCATTTTCCTACACGAGCAGAGCCTTTGTGGTGACACCTTAACATCTGGAGAGTTGTGTAATTAATATTATTAACAAAAAGGAAAAGATGATTTAATATTATGCAGAGGCATTGGAATGCAAAGTTGCCATTGTGTTGGAATGACCAAACTGGAAATGAACGTTATAGGGCTTAGGATAAAGTTCAATTGAGTACAGATGGTAGTCTATTTTAATTAGCTCCAGTTTCTGTTGTATAACAGAACTTTAGTAATTGATGGAATTTATAGCATACCCCAGTGACACATAGAAACTGATAAGTGTAAATTTGTTAAACAAAACACAAGGCAGGCATAAGTAGGACTTCTTTTTTCTTTAATCACAGACGCACACACATACACACACACTCGCCTTCTTTTTAAGCATCCTTTTGGACTGATCTGTGCTAACGTTGTGCCATCATTTCCCTTAGATTCTTAATTACCTTCACTTGATTTTTTTTTGTTTTTTTTTTTTTTACGGTCTGAAAAGGGCTATTTTGTTCCAATTGCTTTGTTGATCAGCCCCATCCTGGAGAGAGCAGCCTGAGCGTTTTCAGTGTGCAGTATCAGTCACTGGGTTTTTCCAAGGGCTGTCATTTAAGCAAACTGAAAGCATTTGTTTTTAACTTGTTCTTTTGCCAAAAGTCTGGAGAAGGGTGGATGTTACAGATGCATCAGCCAATAGCTGAAAGGGCTCACAAATTTTTTCAAAATTACTTGTTCTGATTCTGTTCCAAGCTGGCTTATAGTTAGACGCTGCTGCCTGTGTCTTCCAACCCTTACATTTTAGCGCGATGACTCCGGTTCAGCCCTTTCCTTCCCTTTGGTCCTTAGCCAGGTGGATGACGGAAATGGAAGGGTAAAGATGTTATTAAGGAGGCCCTGGGTGGCTCCTTCCGGGGTGCTAGGCGCCTTCAGTTTGATGCTCCCTCTCAGTGCTTTAATGTTCCAAAGTTACAAAATGATTTCGAGGACCACAGTAGGCATTCTGTTTTGTAGGATGGGACTTTGCCCCCAGAGTTTAATCAGAGCTCAGGTTTCTTCCCAGCAATGATGCAACGTTTAAGGAGATCTTTTCATTAACCACAGATGGAATTTTATCTGATAGTTTTGTGTGCTAGAACCATTTGAAGTGCAAACAAACAAAAAGTTCCTGGCAAGTAACAGCATCTAGGCAGTCAGTGACCAGGCTGATCTGAGAGGCTGATGAACTGTGCAGCGGCGGGGAAACGGGCAGGCTGCTGCCCAGGCCGGGTCTGCCACGTGGGGAGGGAGAGGTCTCCGTCTTTCCTAGCTGGCAGCCTCCTGTCTGGCATTGCAGATGACAGGGATGAACGACCTCTATAGTTTCAGCACAATCTAACTAGCCTGAGTGACATGGCTACTAGGAACTGGTAAAAGGCTTGAATTTTAAAATATACTTTAA